GTGGATGAAGATGAAGAAGGCAAGGCAGCCGTTGGGTTCTTGCAGGTGGATGAAGATGAAGAATGCAAGGCAGCCGTTGGGTTCCTGCAGGTGCTGGGTTCAAAATCGAACCTAGCAGGCAATCGAACCTAGCAGCTGTTGGGTTCCTGCAAGTGCTGGGTTCGAGCTGGGTTCTTGCAAGTGTTGGGTTATTTTTCAAACGTAGCAGGCACTGGGTTCCGTTTCGAACCCAATATCTGTTGAGTTTAATTTGTTTATCAATCTGTTGTTTGTTGGGTTTTGTTTCAAACTCAATAGCCGTTAGGTCGATGGATCTGTTGAGTTTGATCTATTTATGGATTTGTTATCTGTTGTGTTATCCTCAGATTCTTGCAGGTGCTGGGTTCAATTTCGAACCCAGCAGGTGATCAAACCCAACTGCAGTTGGATCGAAGGATCTATTGAATTCAATCTGTTGTTTTGTTGTGTTATCCTCACATTTAATATTAGGAGATGTTAAGGTTTGCAAAAGGTGAAAGGAAAGGAGAAGAAGAAGAAAGGGGGAAAAAAAAAAAACAAAGAAAGGAAAAAAAAAATAAGGAAAAAGAAATTTTTTAAGGTATTTTCTTGCCATCTCATTTTTTTACCACGCTATACATCTTAGGTGTCAAAATGCTTTTACATGTCATCTTTTCCTGTCAAGTAATGGGACACATAGGTAGATATTTAATGGAAGGACCAAAATTGAGGTTAAAATGATAAATAGTAGGGAGATTTTTTTAGTTTAGGGACTAAATTGTGGGTCCGTGCAATAGTTTAGGAACCAAAATAGGATTTTAACCTTTTTAAATTTTTTAAGTTTTCAAGCATATTGCAAGTGAAACTAATATAGACATGTAAGTGGATATAGAATAATTCATGCTTCATTGAATTGGTTCAACAAAGAAACATAGAGATAACCATATTTTGGTCTGTCATATCATCATGTTTATCTATAACATTATCTTGATTGGGCAATAGTAATTCTTTAATTCAAACCCTGTATTCTTCTACTGCCAATCAAGTAGTTAAAGAGAAAGAAAAGAATGACAAATTGTATAGTAGATGCCAAAAGGGAAATGTAGGTAACACAGATTGACATCCACATGGAAATATACATTTAATTAATTGGATGTTTGAAATCTGAAACAAAGTACTTGCAGCTTCAACACATCAACCAATTGCATTCAAAAACGCATTATTCCCTTTAACTCTTTGCATAACAACAAAGTGCTCCTCTTATTATATTTCTTTAATTTAATTTCTTCTTCTTGGGTACTTTGA